CCCTAAAACCAATTCCTCCTCTCCCCACGTCAGAATAGCACCCCTGCCTCTCTGGATATGAAAGGAGGGCTTTGTCCTTCGCTGCTGTCCTTTATCTGCCTTCTCCAGTAACTCAGGCTCTTAAACCTGTCCATGAACAGTCTACCACACTGCCACTGCACTGAATGTAACCGTAGCTTGCAGCGTTGAATTAAACTTTTAAGAAGTCTGTTTTCTTCCATTCTTGCTACTTTCCCTTAGGAGAACAGGATGTTACCTAACATGGGGGGTAAGTAGTTTACATCTTAGGTACTCATGGTCGAGTGGATGAAGGCGCTGCATTGTCTTAATTCCCCCTGCAGACTGTAAACTCCGTGAGGTGAGGGTAAGGAATGTCTCACTCACTGTTACATCCCTCCTCCATAGCATGTGTCTCTGTGTTATTAGTGGTCTGAATTAATTGGCAACAGAATGAACAATTTTTTAAATGATTAATGCAAACTTTTTACCATCCTCCTTTGTCTCTTCTTTAATCCAGTGGATTAAGTGAAGTAACTGAGGCTAACAGCATACCTTAGTTCTGTTTTTGTATTTAATTATATGTCATTTTATATAGTTAAGTTTTTTATTTTGTCTTTTGCATAGGTTCTTGCAGCATTGTTTGTGAGGTTTACCCAGTGGTTGCTGAGACTAGCTTGTATTGGTTTCTGAGAACTGACTTAAATTATCGGAACTTGGCAGGCTGCATTAAACAATCGGTACCATTACCCCACAAAATCAGCAGACCTGGTTTCTCAGCACACCACTGGATTGTTCTCCACTGTTGTATGTGGTTTGTGAATACGCCTCAGTTCATCCAGCCTACTGTGCTGTGGCAACTGGGGATCTCCAAGGTGGAGCACACAGGTGGTCTGCCATCAGTAGTGTCTCCTGTAGGTGTTCTGCTAGGTTATAGATGATGTATGTTTTTATTCAGCTTTAGTAGACACTTCCCAGCTATTTTGAACCAGTTTATACTCCTACGCTCTCACCAGCTCTGGCTATTTTTGCGTCTGGTATAGTTAGCCTTTGTGGTAAATGAACAGCGATGCTGACTGTGGTTTTAATTTGCATCTCCCTGTGACTAATGAACTTGACCTTTTGTTTATACCCCATTTATGTGTTTTCAAGTCCGTTACAGTCTATTTCTGCATTGGATTGTCTTTTATTCTGATGGTTTTGTGCTATGTATTTCTAGAAGACAAGTTTTTATTTTTTTAAGAATTATTTTATTTAACTTTATTAATTTACCTATTTTTTATTTTTTATAAATTTGACCAGAGGGACAGAATGAAAGCGAGAAAGCAAGCTGCCAGGTCTGGGACTCAAACAGCCATCAGCCATGTGGGAGTCCAGCGCCCTCAACCACCATACCACCTGCCGACCCCAAGAAAGTCTTTTTTTGCGCCCCCCAAAAAATGTTTTTTTTTTTTTTTTTTTTAAAGAGGTTTTTGCTATAGGTTGTGTGCGCTTGCCAGAAAGACAGAGAGACAGAGGGACAGAAAGTGAGAAATCACTCCCCAGGGGGATGGCCATGCTGCAATCCCTTCTCCAGTCTCCTCTTAGGATCTTGGGCACACGTACGCCCATGCACCTGGCTTGAGTTTAAGCCACCGAATCTGGGACTCAAACTGCGGTCAACTACATGGGAGTCCAGTGACATAGCCATTACGCTAACTGCTGGTCCCCCCAAGAAAGTCTTTTATTTGATACATACATTGTTACTATTACCCACTCTGATGAATTCTAGTTAATGTTAATAGAACCCAGTTCATTAGATTTTTCCCCTTATGATGAGTGGCTCTTGTGGTCTTTTTAAGATCTTGTATTCTCTGACAACATTGGTGTGGTCTCTTAAGCTTGTATACGTTTATATTTTATATTTAAATTTGCAAACTCTCTGGAATTGATTTAAATGTTGTATGAGGTAGGATCAAGGTATTCCTCCCTGTGTGCGTATGTAACTGCCCCAGCACCAAATTTTGGAAGGACCGTTTTTGTTCACTGACAGCAGTGTGGCCTTTGTCCTTGCATGTGTGGCTCTGTCTCTGGACTCTTCTAGTTGTGGTCGGTTTACCTGTTCTCACACTCAGACCAGGCTGTCGTCATGTCATCACTGTCGCGTTGTCATGAGCTCTCTGGTTTTGTTCTTCTTCAGTATTGCTGTGGCCCTTTCTCTCCATGTGATCTTTTTTTTTTTTTTTTTACTAAGCTCTTAAAGGTTTGCAAAACCTTGATTTTAGTAGAAATTGCAGTAAATTTATTAATTCATGGGGAATTGCCACCTTTATACTATTGAGTCTTTCAGTTCATGAGTATGGTATCTCTCATTTAGCTTTCATTGCTTTCAGTGCACAGATCTGTCATTAGATTTGTTTCTGAGTCTCAGGTGATTTTGGTGCTACAATAAATTGTATCTTTTTTTAATGCAGGTTTTTTATTTCATCTTGGTAAATAGAAAATATTTTGGTTTTTTTATTGTTTGACTTTTTGATTTTTTCCCCCCTATTTTTTGTATTAAGTGATCTTTCTAAATTTACTTAAATAGTTTGTAGAGTCTTGGATTTTCCTTATGTTTTTTATTAATCAAAACTGTGTTGGTTCTCTTTTAAATAGCTTAGAATTCTCTAGCTTAATGGAAAGAGCTAATGTTGTGAGCTAGCATTTAAGGATAGCTCATACTGGTTTTCCCTCTAACGTGTTACCCAGAAATATTTAACTCTTTTTTTATTCCTTAGGAATCCTTTCAAGTCATCCCAAATATGGCTCTATTCCCAAACTTATATGTAAGTATAAACAACGCTGTAGTTCTTAAAGCTTTTTTAAATCTAAATAAAATTACTTTTGTTGAGATGTTGTCTTTTACTCTCATGTGGTTGTATACTCTGACAAATCAGTTCATTTTAAACTTTTCAGTAAATGAACTATTCAGATGATCTATTGTGAGCATCACAGATCAGGACTTAGCTGAAAGGAGCTCCCACAACCCCGCA